TTTCTGTTGCCCATCCCCCAGGGAGGAGGTTATATGTAGAGCCAAAGTTTTCTTTATAGGGCCAAATTATTTAAGGAAACAAAACAAAAAATGAATGATGGTCAAGTCCATTTTGACTCATGGTGACCCTATCGGACAGAGTACTTTTCAGAAGGAGATAGCCTTATCTTTCTCCTATGATGAGGTTGGTGGCCATGAGCAACTGACCTTTTGTTTAGCAGCCCAACATGTAACCAACTGCAGTAGGCTCCTAAGGGCCAGATAGTAAATCTTTTAGGCCTGATGGGCCATATGGCCTCTGGTAGCTTCAGCTGCAGCCTAATCTGTGTAAACGAATGGGGTGTCTGTGTTGCAATACAACTTAATTTCCGAAAACCAGTAGTGGGCCCCCCTATTTCCAACACGATTAGTCCTGCCACAGCTCAGCTGCTCTTTCGTGAGTATGGGTCAGGAATCTCCATGGTATGGATGGTTCATGCTCTGCTGCTTCTGAGGGGTCGGTGGTTGGAGTCCACCCCGAGGTGACTGAGAAGAAAGGCCTGGCCATCTGTTTCTTTAAAAAATCAGCATTGAAAACCCGTGGAGCACTGTTGTTCGACTCTGCCACACACATGGAGTCACTGTGGGTTGAGATCAACTTGATGGCTACTGATTTTATGAGTCAAGCAACGTTCTCAGCGCTGACAGTGTAGACCTGCCCTCAAGGGGCTTACCTTAATCATCCTTTCCCTTCAAGTACTGAACCCGGAGTAGCTCTAGAAGCCTTTGTCTTGTTTCCTTCACGATTGATAGCTTCGAGTTGGTTGAACTGTAAGGCTACTTGTGCATCACATGACGAGTGTGTGACCTTCAAAGGAAGCACGAAAAGTGCCGTGAGCTCCAGTGATTCAGTTTTACTGTTACAGAAATTAGTAACTGTAGCTGAATTGACACAGCAGTGCTCAGAATTGATTTTATGGGAACTTTGAACCCAGTTTGTGATTATCTCTTGTCATGCCCCTGAACGTCCTTTGGAATTAGATCAGCATTTTGAAGTTCCATATCTTGGAGACTCCTGCAGCAACCGAATGCTAATAGCGGTGGAGAGGAGCTGCAAAACAAATGTTTTGTGTGTTAAGTAATCGTAATAGATGTTTGGTTGAAATTTACAGGGACTAATAGCCAGGCTTTTGAAATTGTGGTGGTTTAAAAGGTGCCTGCATTGGCCCCGAACCCAGGGCGTTCCCCCCCAAAAAGTTTGATCTACTAGGCCTGGGATACAGGAAGCTTTATTGTTAACAAGTTCTCAAGGTGAGTGATTAAAAAAAATGAGTTTGAGAATTTGTTCCTCACCTCAAGACCAGTTTTTTCCATCTAGATTCTACCCTCTGACAAGGTAAAGTCTAAATGCAAGCAAACTAGACAGACAGAGTGGGTGAGGTAAAGACAAACAGATGGTTCCCACTACTTGTAAGAGTTAAGTCGTATGAGCCCCCAATATATTACATGACTTTAAAAAATAAGATTAAAATATCAGGGGGAAAAAAGAGTTAAGTCAGCATAGCAGATGTGTAGATTACACAATGCTTTATATTGCATTTGGACCTAAGATCCTTTAAGTCGTTGCTGTCATCAGTGTCACTGTTTTACACTCCAGGAGACTGAAGCACCAGGGCCGTAAAGGGGGGCACACTCCCTCAGCTGGTCTACAGAACTAGCACTTCAGCCCTGGCCCGTCAGGCAGCATGGAGGATGCAGTCTTGCGGGATGTGGTGGATGGGGAAGTAGTTTCATAGACTTTTAATAAGCAGTTCCTTTTGAAAATGCTTCCTGGATCTCTAAATCCCGTTTGAAACAGCAAATTGGCATAGTATAGCCTTTGCCTACTTGCTTCTAGCTCTCTTCTTGATTATGTTATCATCCAAACCCACTGGCCCCATGCTGGAGCAGGTAAGGCTTCTGTTTTCAAAGGTCCACATTACTCCCCAAGTCCTGCTTGCCTGGCACCAGTTCCTGATGGGCTCTGAGTGTGTGGCCTGAATTCCAGTTCAGTTTAAAACAGATTTTCCACTTGGCGTGTTGTTCCCACCATGCCGTTCATGCTTGCTTTGTTGTTTGAGATTTATTTCCTCTCAGGCATGAAATGGAGAGATTGGAATCACTTTATTAGCTTTGTCTTCTCTAGTTCACTCAAAGCAACTGGAAATGAGGTGGGAAAAGTCCCTAATCTTGCCTTGCAACTTTTTAAAGTTTATCCTTTGTAGCTTTAAAAAAAAAAAGTATGGCCAGCCACACATTTACTGGGGCTCCTGGGTGTGGCATCTCTCTCTCCTGGTGGGCCTCAAAGGACTGCAGAACCAAAGGGGCTGCCACGCCACTCAGCTTCCTACGACTGGGAAGCCCCTCCGTTAGCTGTACTCTATAGGGATATGTCAAATGTGAGGGGGCACCCCCCCAAAAAAACCACAGAATTTCCCCCCCAAAGCTAGCTATCTATGTTTGTTTGTTTGTTTGTTTTCACAAAACAACCTAATCACCTTCAAATACACTTAGTAATCAAACCTATGATTACATTCTTGGAACCATTTTTCAAATTCCTCAGTTTGGGTGTCTGACAGGTGGCACCCCCCTCGTGTTTTTCTTCACCTCTTCTCCAACATCAAATTGCTGTCCTTTCATGCCCCTCTTCATTCTCGAAAACAAAAAGAAGTCGCACAGAGCGATGTCAGGAGAGTAAGGTGCTTGAGGCAAAAGAGGCATGCTGGCTTTTGCCAAAAACTGGTGCACCGAGATGGCTATGTGAGCAGGTGCATTGGCCTGGTGGCAAAACCAGTCCCCCGTCTGCCACAAATCAGGATTTTTTTTGGTCGCACACTGTTACGCTATCTTTTCAGAACCTCTAAATAGAAAACTTGATTAGCAGTCTGACCTAGTGGAACAAACTCCAAATGCATTATTACCCCGTCACATAAAATAAAAAAAATAAGAGAGAGAGCAGTGTCTTGATCTTTGATTTCACTTGACAAGCTTTTTTGGGTGAGGTGAAAAATTCTGGGTCGCTTCAGAGCTGTTCTTTTAAAGGACAGCATGTTTCCACTTTTCCCTGGTAGGTCAGACCCAGGCACAGATTTCACAGCGACCCTTCTCATTCCCAAATCTTGCATTAAAATTCACTGAACTGAGCTCCAAGATAGTCCAGATGACTTCCCATCTCTTTAATGGTCCATCTTTGGTCTTTGAGCACAAGTGCACACATTTTGTTGACATTTTCGTCCGGACATCCAGACGAGCTTTGTCATCAACATTTCACCTTTTCTGAAATGGGAAAGCCACTTGTACACTTGAGTTTTCCCCATAGCGCTGCCCTTGTAAGCTGTGTTCACATCACAGCAATTTCTGTGGCATTTTTCCCGAGCAGGAAACAAAATCTCACAGCCACATGCTGTTTTCTTAAATTGGCCATCACAAAAAGTGGGGTTTGAGCAAAGCTGCTCTTACAAAAAAAACCACTGTGGCTAGAGAGAACCCTCCCAGGCGACGCCACTGGGTGCGCTCACTCAGAGCCAGTTGCTCCATGCTCGCCTAGCAGGAAAAATGCATACTACGAAAGCTCTGCCCAGGGGGGCTTTTTGTGTGTGTGTATGCCTCCTTGAATATATTCTGTGTGATATATAAACAAGTTAAACATGAAGACATGCTTTTCTTTTTGCTTCTCTCGAGACATTTCATAATTGTTCTTGTTTTTTCTGTTCCATTAAAATCTCATCTTGACACGTCCACCTATTGACTCTCTTGGGCAGCAGCCACAGAGAACATTTGCTCTCTTCTGGGTCAACTCCAGGCCCATAAAGACTGAGCTCCAGGGCCACCGCTACCGTGTTGCCTGTTCAAATCTCGGTGCCCTTTGCCAGGGAGCATTACTCAGCAGAAGAGTGCCATCTCTCGGGGTCTTTCTCTTAAGTGGATTCCTGGAGCTCTCACCTAACTTCTAGGCCAACCAGAGTGTGACTCGTAGGAGCCCTGGTGGCTCAGTGGTTACACTTTGGGCTGCAATCCCGAAGGTCAGCAGTTCAAAACCACCAGCCACTCTGAGAGAAAGACAGGGCTTTCAATTCCCATAAACAGTTACAGCCTCAGACACTCCCAAGGGCAGTTCCTAGCGACTCAATGGCAGTGAGTTTGGTGTTTTGGTTTGTGACCCCCTCTCATTTCCTTCATCTGCCCCCAGGCGCACGCAGCACGTTGGGTCATAGAACAGAGAGTGGGACTTGCTGGTGCAGATCCAGCCCTAGCGCTTGCTGTGTGACCCTGAACAAGTTACATCACTACTGTTCTGGGCTTCCATGGTCTCTTTAAAATGAGGGTGCCCATGATACCTTCCTCATAGTCTTGGTGAGCCCCCGATAAATGCTGCCTATCAGTATTACTAATGGTCACATTTTGGCAATCCATGCCAAAACGTTTGGCCTCAGGAGTCACCTGCACATTTTAGAGTTCAGCAGTGCTGTCCGTTTAAATCCGTTATGTGTTGGCATCAGAAAAATCTGCTTTCCTGAGTGAAGTACTGGTGATTGCTCCTGTCTCCCTCATTTCCTCCCTCTGACAGGCAGGTCCACGAGATCCAGTCTCACATGGGACGCCTGGAGACGGCTGACAAGCAGTCTGTGCACAGTGAGTAATCAACTGGGAGACCAGAGTCCTCTCTGGATGACACAGTGCTAATGGGCTGGGTTTCCTGCCTGCCTTTCAGCCTCGGGGCTTCATGATTCAGCTGGAATGAGTTTGTTGTGAGGGTGGACCCAGCTCATGGGCAGTCATGTCCCTGATTTCCCTGATTGTGCCCTGTGGAATCCCACTGGTCTTACCCCCCATTACCCCTCCACTCAACCTGACAGGCCCCTCGGGAATGGGAGCCTGTCCCTCCATCAGTCTTAATCTAATTACCCAGTCCTTAGAGGAATGTATTCCAGAACAGTTACAGGGTGCAGTGGGAGGGCTCGCTCCTCGTTTCTTCTGAGCTGAGAACAGGGCTGTGTAGGGGATTATTCAGAACGGAATGGCAGTAGTAATTCGTTTCGTCCCCACACCGTGGTCGCTTTGGAGAGTAGGGCCTTTCTTGTCTTTCATTGTTTTAGGAAAGACCTTCCTTGGTGTCTGTTACGGGAACCCTTCAGCTCCTAAAGCCACCTCACCCAGCTCCTCCAGTCTCCCTTCCGCAGCCTCTAAAGCTGGGTGTGGGGCTGAGCCTGGCTCTAATCTTGGCTGGGTGCTCCTGGGCAGGGGCCGAGTCATGCTGCTGTCACTCCGCATCAGGGCAAGCCACCTCTGTGCTGAGCTCTGCTTCTGCCACCTGCCTTTGTTTGCCTTCCCCACCAGCCCATTGTGTCCTGCTTAGACGTGCAGTGGGGGTCAGGGCAGCTGGCTTATCCCGTGGGACAAGGAAAATGGCTGTGTTTATCCTATCTTTGCCCCTGTCCATTCTATCGATGACTGGGCTATTTGGGGACTCCAGTGTCACCCGGCCCACCCGAGTGGGGTATGATGGAAAGCTCAGGAGGGTTTGTCACGCGTTAGGACTTTCTCAACCTCTTTGCTATGAGCAGGCCATTACCGGACATTCCCATCTGTCTCTCAGCGCCTTCCCAGAGGGAGAAAGACTGCTGCCTGGCTCCGAATAATGTGTTTAGCCAAGACACTCATTTGGACAACCTTTAAATATGCATTTTGAAAAAATATATCTATGTATATATATACACATGTTTACCTTTTAATGGCAAGACATTTATTTCCACAGATTAGCCTCAGCTTCTTAAAAAATGGACACTGCTAATGGCATTGACAGAGATGCAGATTTTAATTCATTCGTGTTTCTGAAGCAACTTACATAGGGCACGTAACGCACTCTGGAATATTTTCCTTGGTTAATGTGTGCATTTTTCTCAGTTTGAAAGACTTATTTTTGGACTTATTATTGAACATGGGAAAAGATATGCTTGTTCATCATTCTGACGTGTTCACAACCTCTTTTCTAGCAGCTGTTCATTTTATCCCCTCCTCTCTTGCGCAGTAGTAGAAAATGAAATCCAAGCGAGAATAGACCAGATCTTCAGCCAGCTAGACCGTCTGGAGATTTTGTCGAGCAAGGAGCCCCCGAACAAGAGGCAGAATGCCAAACTGTGAGTGCCAGCCTCACCCTCGCCCTGATGCCCCTGGCCCTTCACGGCAGCTTAGAATCGTCTGAAACTCCACTGCCGCCTTAAATGGTGACGTCCTTGTTCTGCCTGTCCTGTCCCAGTGCTGCCCTCACAGTGAGAAGCCTGTGCGGTAGGGGCCTCGTGTCCCTTGGACTTCTGCCTCCATGACTGGTCTCCTACCCAGACCCACAGCCACCTGAGGCCGCATCAGGCTGTACAGCTCGGTGCTGCCGTCCTCACGCCGATTCTCGACTTACGATGAAATCTTTCTCTTCGTTGCTTTGTTCAGTTTTTTTATAATGCGATTCTGAGCTCGTGCTAGATATACCTCCCCAAAACAAAGTGAAGCCACCCTCCCCACCCACAACCCCAGTCCAGGCTCCTCAGAGTTGGCTGAAACTTTATTCTGAAGGTGCCCTTGGGCTTCTTCTGGGAGCTCCCGTCTAATCCCTAGGAGGTCAGGCAGAGGTCATCGGCCTGCTCCGGTCCCTGCCTGCCAGGCACTCGAGGCTGAAGGAAAGCTGCGGAGCTCTTGGTGGGCCGTGGCCCCAGTGTGGGCAGCAGGCGGCATCTTTGCTCGCCTACTGGGGATGGGGATCACAGTTGGACAGGGAGGAGGCCAGGTCTCCCCTCCGCACACATCCAGGCTCCTGGAGTTGCATCTCTGTCTCCTTCGATCACAGCCGCGTTGACCAGCTGAAGTATGATGTCCAGCACCTGCGGACTGCCCTCCGGAACTTCCAGCACCAGCGGTGCGCCAGGGAGGAGCAGGAGAGGCAGCGAGAGGAGCTCCTGTCCCGCACGTTCACCACCAATGTAAGCTGGGGAGGGCGCCGGCTCTGTCCTCTGAGCAGATGAGGACAAGTAAGCCCAACTGGAAAGGACCGGGGTGGGGGTGGGGCATTTTGTGCACCCACATGGGCTAGACCTCCACGTGGAGCCCCCTTCTCTAACATAAGCCCTGAAGAGGAAGCCATTCAATTAGGGCAAAGGGCAGGGGTGAAGGCGCCCTGGTTTGGGAGTTCCTGTGGAAATGCTCCCTGATCAGATAAAGCCAGATGATTAGACCTGAGACCATTTGGGGGGGTGGTGGGGAGGCAGCATTTCAGAGCTGCCTTCGGGCACTTGCCTTTGTGTTGTGGTGGGAGCGGGGGAGGGGGCAAGGGGCAGGGGTCCCAGTGTCAGTGAAATGTTTTTGCCCCTGGTCTGAGCAGCAATTTGGAGGAATTTGTTAACAGATATGTAGTTTGAGACGGACTGCCGGACTTGAGCCTGTGTGAGGTGTTTGATGTCGGGCAGCACCATTCCATTGTCCCTGCAACAACCCCCCACCCAGCAGCCGCAAACATGCTGCCCTTTTTCTGTGTGCTGCATGACAAAGCCCACCCAATGAGGGCTGCTTTGTTTGATTTTAGGGTTTGGGCTTTTTAATGAAACAGAGAGTTCAGTTTTGCAAGTGGTGAGTGGTGTTGGCTTTCTAAGGCTGTCCTCAGGATTGGGAGCAGGCCTGGCTCTGCAGAAGTCCAGCCTCTGCTCTTAGGTGGGGAGCAGACCACAGTGTGTGAAGCAAGCTAAGGGCTTGAGAGTGAAGACCCTTGGTCAGGTCTTTTTGAGCCCCAGGGGCGCTCCTCAGGATGATGTAATTCTTGCTTGTCTGCCAAGAGCCTCTGGGTCAATGGGTCCTGTTGTAGGTGGGACTTCCCTTAACTGCCCCCTGGCCTTCCTGGTCCTACTGCTCTCTGGAGTAGGATGCCTTTCTCAGAGAGACTAGCCCATCAGCCATACTCTGTCGGGTAGAGGGTGAGGAAGGTTTGTGTATGAAAGGCATACAATAAATGGTTGTTATAAACAGAAGTCTCTACCGGAGACATTCAACCCCGGGAACCTTGGACCCACTGAACTTCAGCTGAGTGCAGAGCACTGTTTCATGAGTTCAGTATAAAAGCCAAAGACTTGCCGCCCACCTGAGGAGCCCCCAGTACTTTCAGGGACTAAAAACCTCTGAACTGGAACAGCAGCGAGAAGGTGGCTGAGCCTCTGACTGAGGAGCCCTGGCGGTGGAGTGGTTACACATTGGGCTGCTAACCACAGGTCGATCATGCCAACCCAAAGCTACTCCTTGGGAGGAAGACCGGGCTCTCTGCTCCCGAAAAGATGTACAGTCTCAAACACCCAGTACTGCCTTATAGAGTTACCATGAGTCAGAATTGACTAGATGTCAGTGTTTGCTTTTGATTTTTTTAGGCTTGTAGTTTAAGGTGGAGCCACCAGCATCCGGGCTAGCTAGAGTACAGGGTTTACACTCAGTACCAGAACTTACACCCCACCTCGCACCCCCTACAACTTCCCCATCACCTGCGGGGTCTTGGAAAAGGTATTCCATGCCTCTGGGCCTGAGTTTCTTCATTTGTAGCATGGGGATAAAGATGACCACTTTGCAGGGCTGCCGTACGGAGCTGAGAAGGCACTGGCTTGGGGCTAGTCGTTTGCCCCTCCTTGATTGAGCAGACTTGTCCTGTTGAGCCAGTCCCGACTCAGAGGGCCCTGATAGGATAGAATAGAACTGCCCCACAGGGTGTCCAAGGCGCTACATCTTCATGGAAATAGACTGCCAGCTGCATCATTCTCTTAGCAGCTGGTGGGTTCAAACTGCCAACCTTCTAGTTACCAGCTAAGTGCTTACCCACTGTGCCATCCGGGCTCTTTGCCTGGAACAGAATCCCATCAGACACCATCCAGGCTTCAACAGAAGACACAGTCCCTTCTGCCCTTTGTCGATCTGAGTCACATTGGAGAGAGACACTAGAGGAAATGGCCAACAAGTTACACAGTTAACACTGCTCTCGGGGAAGTCAAACCAAGGGACCTTTGGAGCCTTTGACAGGAGCCGGGCGAGGTGAACGTGTCCTGGCCGGGAGACTGCAGCAGCGGAGGCAGGGCTGGTTTGGGGAGTGACAAGTCTGAGAGGCTCCTCTTTCCCCGCGGGAGCAGAGGCCATCCCAGACCTTTGTGTTCCTCTCTCGAGTCTCTGGCCCTCCTGCTCGCTCGGCTTTCATCAGTCAGGCGGGCCCCCAGGTGAGCAGCAAGGCAAGTTAACCAGGCCCTGCCTCTCTTCCACAGGACTCTGACACCACCATCCCCATGGACGAATCTCTGCAGTTTAATTCCTCCCTCCAGAAAGTCCACCACGGCATGGATGACCTCATTGGAGGCGGCCACAGTATTCTGGAGGGACTGAGGGCCCAGAGACTGACCTTGAAGGTGGGGTCCCTACTGAGGGGCGAGGAGAAGGGCTTTTATTTGGGCCTCCTCCCACAGTGCGTATCTCTGTGTACACTTTGATGATGTGCTCCCCCCGCCCGATGGTGAGGTGTCGGTGAGCCCAAGTGGGGTCCTGCTCGTTGGCGCTGGATGATTCTGAACCCATAAGCAGCCAGGTGCCTGTTGGCAGCAGTTCATCTTGTGCTGAAAAGGGACCATCTTCTACCTCCCTTGCTATCCAGGTCTCTCCCATTTTCTGAACTCAGCGTGGACATAGCTACGCCTTGCGTGCCCCACGCAGGGCTCTGAGGGGAACGGTACTGTTGAGTCTCTTCCTGAGTGTGGACACGTGGTGGTGCTCTGGGGCCTCATGCCAAGGTGAGGGAGCCCTCATAGCAGACCCCTTTTGTGAGGGGGCCTAGGGCTGCCCTGGTGTGCTGACAGCAGACGATCTAGCACACATGTGACGTTTCCTTCCCTCCATCGGTGCAGGTGTTCCCAGAAGCCCTGCCCTTTGGCACTGCTCTGGGGCTAGGCCCCCTGGGAGTGGTTGACAGAAACATTACACAGAGTGGTGTTAGTTAGGATGGTTCAGCCTCAGCCCTTTTCCTGTATCAGCCCCAGTGGATAGTGGGGTGTGGGATAGGCCTGTTATCAGGGTGTGGTCCCCTGTGAACGAAACCCTCCCAGCCACTGAGCTCTGAGAACCGGCCCAAGGAAGTGTGAGCCTTATCTGAGTTTTTGTTGGACCACTGGGATCCTGTCAGCCCCACTGCTCTAGGCCATTCTGAGCTGTCCCTGCCGTCTGCCCCTGGGGGAGGCCAGGCCTGCTGCGGGATCCTGGCCTCCACCACTGCCCCAGCACTCGGGAGGCCTGGCAAGGTGGAGCACCTGAGGTGTTCTGGGTGCCTCCCTCAAAACAGCCCCACAGTGATGGGCACAGATAGACGCCGACTCATCGATGGGCCTGTGCTTTAGAAAACTGCTGGCCCTCCTTCCCATGTCTCAGAAAAACAGTCGAGCCCTTTAGGGCAAGATACCTGGGTCACACATAGGTAAATGCAGCCCATCCTGATAGCAAGTATGAGCTTCCTGCTGACATCAGGCCACACCGAGGAGTCCAGGCTGCGTGTCAGCCAGGGCAGGTACAGGGATGCCGATGGTCTGGCTGAGGGTTGAAATTCAAGGTCTCTCTAATTCACTTGTCTCCACAGACCTCCTGCTACTTGTCTTTTGTGTCTTGGTTTTCCAGCCCCTTCTCCCACCCCACCTGTCAAAGTTTTCTGCCCAGCCTCTTGGAAAGGAGCGTAGGGAGCCAGTGTGAGGGGCCTGGACCAAAGTAGCCTGATGCTTTCCAGGTGATCCTAGAAGCTTGAGCCTTGGGCCTCCCGCAGCCATGGGTTCGTCTGTATTCAGAGCTGAGGCAGGATCTTAAGCGAGAACATAAGCTTAATGTCACTGTGGCAAGAAGCTGTTTCAGGTGTCCTCTGGCAGCAGTAACGTTTGACTTGATAGAGCTTTCTGGGTCAGGCTTGCCAAGCACTGTGCAGGATGGGGTTCCCACCTCTTCCCATGACACTTTGCGGTGGACTTCCTTCTCTGGCCTCGACGCCTCGCTGCTCATGGAAATATCCTTTCACAGACTGGCCGCTGGAGCTGCGGAGAGATGCTGCCTTGACCAGGGCGGCTGGCAGTCTGTCCCAGCCGGCATTGGTATTCGTCACTGTAGGAGAGATTGTACTGGGAGGGTAGATTGGGCGATTTGGACTGGGAGTTTAGGAATAAAATAGCCTTTTGTAGATGTGGTAGTATCTGTTAAAGGCACGTGAGTCAGGTTTGTCAGCTGTCTTTCCAGACAGCTCACCCCTAGAGCCTCTCATGAGCACACGATCCCCTGTGGTACTTAGCAGACTCCCAGGGATCGACTCACATCACAGAGTGAACAGCCTGGTATCAGCTAGGGAGCAGAGAGAAAGCATTCAGGTACTATTCTTATTTTAATACAGAAGATTCTAAAATGTTACTAATACTTTATTTACATTAAAGTGCCCAGATCTTATTTGTGTAGTTGAATGAATCTGGACAAATACTCTCTTGTCAAGATACCCAACATTCTTGTCACCCCTGAGAGATGCCTCATCCCCTTCCCAATCCATCTATAACACACGCACACACGTGCACACACACGCAAATACATGTGTACATACATATACACATGCACATTCTAGCAGACTGTTCTGCTTTATTTTGCCCAGGCTTAGTTTTGCCTTTTATTGAAATTCATGTGAATGAGTTCTCATACTACTATTTTGTGTCTGACTTCTCTCATAGGAGGATGATAGATTGATAAGGGTAGTGGTTTCATGTTGGGCTGCGATCTTCAAGGTCAGCAGTTCGAAACCACTAGCTGCTCCATCGGAGAAAGGTGAGGCTTTCTACTTCCGTTACAGCCTCAGTCTCGGAAACCCACAGGGGCAGTCATACAGGGTTGCTGTGACTCGTTTTGTCCTTTCTCGGTAATGAGTTTGAGGCTCATTCCTATTGTTTGTTCTGTGTTTAGTTCTGTGCTGATAATTTGTTCCTTTCTGTTGCCAAGGAGATACGCCCTAATTTGTTTATCTGTACTCCTGTTAATAAACATCTGGGCTGTGCCCAGGGCTCACATGTTCTCCTGTTTTTCCTTCTAGAGGTTTTATTCGCGTTTCACTTTTATGTTTGTTTCTGTGATTGATTCTTGATAAACTGTGTTTTGTGCATATTAGGACTCAAGGTTCATCCCCTTACCCACCCACATACACACATAAATGAGGAAACTTCCAAAGTTTGTAGAAAAATTCCCTTCTCTCTCCATTCCATTTTCCTGTGAACCCCCTGCAGCCCTCCGGTACATCCAGGTGCCGTGAGGCGTCGCACAGCTGGCGGTGATAGCCCACTGTGGGAAAGACTTTTCCTCCTTCTGGAGGAGCTCACGAGGAGCCCTGGGGGCAGGCATACTGGTTACCAGCGGGGCTGCTCACAGCAAGGTCAGCAGTTTGAAACCACCTGGCGCTCCACAGGAGAAAGATGAGGTTCTCTACTCCTATAGAGAGTTACAGCCTTGGGAACGCATGGGGACAGTTGTATCCTGTGTGCAGGGTCACTGTGAGTCTGTTGACTGGAGGGCAGTGGGTTTGAGTTTGAGAGGAGTCGCTCAGGCACTCGGGTGGAGCTGTGAGAGTGAGGCTGTGTTGGCGGGACACTGCCTTCTACAATGCCTGTCAGTAGGGCCCTAATACTTGGAGCCACATAGAGCCCCCTAATTCTCTTCCTTTTGTGCCCACCAGGGGACTCAGAAGAAGGTCCTGGACATCGCCAACATGCTGGGCTTGTCTAACACTGTGATGCGGCTCATCGAGAAGCGGGCCTTCCAGGACAAGTACTTCATGCTCGGAGGCATGCTGCTCACCTGCCTGCTCATGTTCCTCATGGTGCAGTACCTGACGTGAGCCAGCCTGCGCCCACTCCGCAGCTGGACGGCGTCCTCAGCGTGCGAGTGTGTGTGCGCGCGAGTGCATGCATGTGCGGCCGGCAAGAGTGGGGACCAAGAGGCTGCCTGTTGACGTGATTCTGTAACCTTGTGGAAGTTTCAAACATGCTGTTTCCTGTGACATCTTGGAGAGGGTGCTAATGCCACTGAGGTAGACAGTGCTTAGGAATACCCATCTCTTGCGCTCTCTCCCCTCCTTCTCCCATCTCCATTTCTCTCTCAACTGGAAGAGGAAGCCAGGAAGGGGAAAGAGTGCAGGAGGAAGGGAATGCCAGTGGGGTTCATCCCCAGAGCACATGCCCCCCGGGGAGGCTTTCGAGATGCCCTGCAGATGGAATTGTCCCCTCTGCCATTATCTGGCCCTTTCTGGATGGCTGATGCGGAAGTAAAGATGTCGGAGGGGGTGTCCCCTCTCCCTGCCCTGGTATAGTCAGTCAGTGTACACCCTTGTTTTGAACCATATGCCCATTCCCCCTTGAAAAAACCACATGCAGCCTGCTGCTGCTCCTTGTCCCCCTTCCCTGGAAGCAGCCATCCAGAACGAGCAGACAGCCATGATGTTGATGAGACTTACACATCAGACACCAGACCCTGCTGTCTGGCTTGCCAAGCTGGTGTAGAATGGCCTGCTGAAGGAGTTGGGGGTGTGCAACCTGGCACCCGTGCTGTGCCCAGGCCAGAGGACTTTGCCCTGTGGAAGGTAGCAGTGGGCAGAGCTGCAAAGCCTGGGTTCAGTGCTTGGACTGGCTTACCTTCCTGGAAGTCTCTCGGCAACTACCCGCCCAGCCCTTGCTCGGCCCCACCAGCGTGGCTGAGGTCTGTGGAGCACAGGTCTGTGTGAGGCCATGTGCAGGCCAGGCCCTCCTCCTGCTCTGCGCCCCCGTGTGGAGTGAGGCTGCGTGTGGGGAAGTGATGGTAAAGCCAGGCCATCTGCAGTCCCCACAAGTGCCAGGACGACCGGGGTATCCGTTACAGGGCCAAGCTCTCTGGGTTGGATAACCTTGGGACAAGATAGACAGTGACCCTCAGACTTCTCCAGAGTTGGAGAGTTAGCCAGCGGGAACCCAGCCTTCAATGGGCTCCACTCGCCCCCACTTCCTGTTCCTGTCGACAGCACGACCTCGTCTCACTTCCCTTCTGTGTGTTTCTGTGGCCCCTCGGGCGCCTTGGGTCTGTCTGTGGCAGAGCACCCTTGGGTGACTTCCTTGTAACAGTCCCAGCTCTGCGGCACGGTCAGTGTCCTAGGCACTGGTCTCCCACTGAGGCACCCGCCCTCACTGGCTCCCAGTACACGGAGCTGTGCTGGGCCCTGGGTGGACTCAGGTGATGGGAGGGTAGACAGAGGGTCTCCACTGGGGGCCTGGCCATCCTAGCCCAGGAACCTGAGGCATCAGCAGACAGCACACTGGGAGCAAGGAATGCGAAGAGCCGGGGAACCGATTGGACATGGACACTGGCAGCGGAAACCGCCCCCCTCCCCCCAGCCCGACTTCTGTGACCACTGCGATGGCTTTGTGACCACAGCGCAGCACGGCCTCACTTGCCTTTGTGACACCTGTTGACCTTGAGCCAGAAGACCCACCTCCATGTTGCACCTCCTGAGCCTCGGCCCCTACTTTGTAATAAAAATTGTGGGGCAGCTGTGGGTCTTTACTGCTAAGGGCAAAGGAGTGAATGGCAGAGTGTCAAGGGACATGGGCGTTGAGGCGGCACGACATCATGACACTACCTTCTCGAGTTCTCCCTCAAAGCCCCCTGAGAAACTGGTACTTCTTCACTGTGCACTCCCGATGCTCCCACAGTCCTGGACTGAGGGCAGGCTCTGGGCCAAGGGATGGGCGCCCTCTAGTGGAAGCGTCAGAGAATTCTTAGGGCCACTGGGGCAAGAAACACCAGCTGACACCTGGCCTATGCAGGACTGGGGACCAGTGTGCTTTAAAGCAGTGGCTTGTCAAAGAATTGGGGACGCTTTGGTGGTGCACCAGGTTACTCCAGGAATGACCACTTCAAGGAAAGCCACGCTCAAAGGCCAAACAAGCTTCCTTTTCTGCAAGGCCTCCCTGCAGGGTGCCCACATGTATTTCACTGGGTTTGATTTGCAAATTTGGATTTATCCCCATCCCTGTCTTTAAGGGCATCAGTTGAATAAAGTTGAGATTTATTTTACTTAGAAAACCAGGCTTTGTAAAGGCCATTGGCATTCATTTTTACAACAAACCATCGTCTCCCGGTGCTCCAGAGCTGGGCTGGCCAAGTTCCCTTAGGGGAGCCTGTGGTGTCCCGGGAGTTGGGGGGCTTGGGCTTTTTGTTTGTGTAAGTCTCTTAAGGTCTCAAGGTCAGGTAAATTTTGAAGCCACAGTCTCCAAGACAGAAGGCTTTGTCTTAAGGATGATATCACTTGAAAACGTGCTGAACTAGCTCAGCATATGCACGTGACAGAACAAAACCAGTCAAGATGAGTTACCGATTGTGCCCTACCTTAACTCACCAGGAAAACGTTGCTGCTGGGGTCCCAGCCATATATGCACATGCTTAACTCCAAGCAATGCTCACACGTGTCTGCAAACCGCGGAGGCTGCAGACTAGTCCTTGCATCACACTTGTCTTTGCACCCAGACTACTCCCATCGAGTCCGTTCCGGCCCACGGTGAGGGACTGTAGGGTTTACCGGAGCAGCCTGCCTCATCTTTCTCCCGAGGAATGGCTGGTGGATTTGAACAGTCAACCTTCCAGTTAGCAGTCCAGTTCCTACTGGACAGCACTAACAGGGCTCCTTAGAAGCCAAATCCACTGCCATCTAGCCAGTTCCCCCCACCCCCAGTGGCTCCAGTTTCTGAGGTTGTCAGTCCCTGCCGGAGCCACTGTTGTCTACATTAGTGGTTCTCAACCTTCCTAATGCCGCGTGACCCTTTCATACAGTTCCTCATGTGGTGGTGACCTCCAACCATAAAATTATTTTCGTTGCTACTTCATAACTCATTTTGCTACTGTTATGAATCGGGTGGTTCCTGTGAAAGGGTTGTTCTACCCATTAATGCTTAATGGCCCGGCCCTTACCTGTGGCCCTCCCTGGAAGCCATCCTGCTGTCTTCCCAAGCTCTCCAAGGCTTTGTGACTTCACCATGGTCCCAACGGGAACCACAGAGGAGCCGGCCTCAGAACTAGTTGTCTTGTTCTGTAACCTAAGTTCATAACCACTGCACCAACCTGCCTCCCGTGCTGATTGATGCTCCGGTTGGGGGTGTTCATCTAGGGAGGGGCGGGCAGGGCTTGAAGTTAACTTGCAGACAACTCGGACTTCGGTGGCAGCGTCTCTCCAGAAGACTTCCAAAACGAGGACGGGGCATGGCTGCTCCAAGTGGAAGGCGGGCGTTGTACCAGGGCATTGCCACTGGAGGGAGACATAACCTTATGTTTAGTCTGCCAGTGCCCCTCACTCTGCCCAGTTGGCTTCCCAGGCTGGCACCCAGACCCAGTGAGTGACCTCAGCGTGCCTCTCACTGATGCCTGTTACAGGGAGCTGTCCCAAAGAGCTGGTGCCAGCTTGGGCAGGCCTCAGGAGTGTGGGTGGTGGCGCCTGGCAGGGCATTCACTTTTAATTACTGTGTCCAGTCACTCTGTGCCTGGCAGCACCTTATTGGCTGCCTTTGAGGGGGCAGAGGTTGGAGACAGCCCTGCCCTTCCAGTGCTCACAGCAGCGGCAGCTGTGACAGCAATAGAACCCTGAACCCAGTCACCTGGCCTCGCGTAGCACCTGCCCCGCATTCTTGCCCTCAGTGGCACCAAGCCCCAGTGGCCTCTGGTTCTCAACCTTCAGCTGCTTACTGGATTCACCCGGTGTCTGGCTGGGCTCTCTGGAGAAGCAAAAACAACGACCTTACGTGTGTCTATGTGCAGAGAAGTTGATACAAGGCAAGTTGAGGCAAGACCCATGCCTGTGGATCAGATTGCAGGCTGTAAGCTGCTGATTCAGGTTGCTTTGGGGCGAATGAGCTTGAGATAGGGAGGCTTCTGGCTGCAGAGATGACTGGATCCAAGGTCATCACGGGAGATGGCAGCTGCTGATGACTCCCAGGGCCTGTGGGCAACATGGCAGGCTGCCGGTTCAAGACAAAGAACTAGAGCTCTGGTAATAAGCCAGATGCAGGGTCCAGACCCAGCCAAGAGCAAGCAAGCTTGTCCACAGCAATCACTTCCATTGGAAGCAGGCCACAGTTCTGAGGAGAGCTCCTCATCTCAATGCCAAATCACTGAGAATCTTGGCCCAGCCAAGGTGACAACACCTTAAATAGCACACCTGCGGGACTTTTTTAAGAATCCTTGCTCCAGGTTCCACCCCTTGAGATTTCCCTCTCCTTGGTCCACAGTGTGGCCTGGGTCTCAGGTGTTTTTGTAACTTCCTAGGCGAGTTTCATTGCCTGACAGGTGGGATGGGTTGTTGAGGACTGTGGAACTGGAGAGAGAAAATTGCATGGAAAGCAACCAGAGGTCAAGGTCACAGGTCTCCAAGGCCGAGTGAGTGCAGTGCAGAACAGCTGTCACGGTGGGGGCAGTGGGCTAGCTCGGGCTCTTGGGAAATGACCGGTGAGAGCTGTGGGGAAAGCTTCAGGGGAAGGGGACAGGCTAGGGGAATGAAACTCATCGGACAACCAACCCTAAGGGCAGCAGTCTGGGCCACTCCACGGGAAGAAGATGTCATCTGTTTCTGTATAGCTGCACAGTCTCAGAAACCCCCAGGGGCAGTTCTACTCTGTCCTACAGAGTCGCTCTGAGTCAGCATCGACTCCGTGGCCATGGCTTTAGTCAGTCTCAAGAGGCCCGAGTGGCCCTGTGGTTAAGTGTTTGGCTGCTAACCCAAAGGACCAGCTTGGCCCCACCAACTGCTCCACAGGCCACGACGCAGCCTGGGGAGCCCTGTGAGGACAGTTCTGCCTGCCCTGTGGGTGGCCGAGTCGGCACTGGCTTGACAGCAGTAGGTTTGCTTGTGGGGTCTGGAATCTACCTTTGGGTGCTCGAGTGGCAAACGTGTTTGAGCCATGACTGACGGTGAGCTGTAAGACTGGCAGGCAACCTGCACCCAGAGGCACGTGGGAAGATAGGCCTGGGGGCCAAAAGGTCACGACCTTGGAAGCCCAGTAGAGGGCACTGCTGCCAAGCACACTGGCAAGGGCACCTGCTTTGTCAGCCTTTCACTCTAGCAGCCCCCTGCCTGGCTCTGGCACAGAGGTGACTGCTGCCCAGAGGCCAGAGGGTGTCCCTGCATCCCATCCCGGAGCAGTGCCCACCAGAGACAGGCAGGGGCTGTGAGAAGGAGGCTTCTCCCCTCCTCTCCTCTCCCCAGCCCAGCAATGAACTCCACATTCTTCACCCAAACCCCTTGGCTGCTCGAAGCTTCCTGGGCCCAGGGCACGTGAGGAGGGAAGGGGTGGGAGCTCTAACAGTCTCTGCCCCTCAGCCCCCGCAGTTGCTGTGAATGTCAGAAGACGTGGTCCTGGGTGCTGTCCAAGCCCTGGGGCTGAGGCCTGCGGTGGGCGTTGATTCCGTTTCCATGGTGATTTCTTCTAGGAAATTGTCCAACCAGCAGCCCAGAGGCCCTGGGGAGGAGGACCCCGAGCCGAATTCCAGAAGGAGGTCAGTGCATAAAAAAGAGGGGGTGATGACATCTCGGAGGTCACCGTTTGGGAGGGGACGGCAGAAATGAAGATGGAGGAGACCTGGATGCTCACTCAAGGGGACACAAACCACCACCCAGGCCCCGCCCTGTTTCTGGCACCAAACGTCAGTTGAGTCATGATGAGAACTGCCAGGAGATAGCAATGGGGTGCCAAGCAAGTGGGTCAGAAACAACTCTGGACCAGGGGGCAGGGGTGGTCAGGGAGGGCTTCCTGGAGGAGGAGGAGGAAGAGAAGGAGGAGGAGGAAGAAGGAAGGATGGGCGGGCCAAGCGAGTGGTACTGGCTGGTTTTCCTGCGCTGTCTGCTGTTGTGGGGAGAGGAGATGCTTTGAAAGGGCTCAGCTCTCTGCTGGTTGGGGTGGACTGTGGGAACCTGGGAAGCACTGGGTGGTGGGCCAGGAGGCCTTGCTGTGTGTGTGTGTGTGTGTGTGTGTGTGTGTGTGTGTGTGTGTGTTTTGCAGAGGTCGAGACCATTAGTCACCACCCTCAGAGGTTGGACAGCTTCCCTCCCAACCATGGAGCTGCTCCTCTTAGACTGGCCGGCTGCTCAGGGCTGGCTGCAGAGAGGAGAAGGGCAGGCAGAGGGAATTGAGTCCCATGAACCCACTCAGCAAGTTGCTTTCTCCTTCACTTGTGTCCCAGGAAAGGCCCAATTAACATAGCACCTCTTGGCGATAGAGGAGTCACTGCCACAGGCGGCACAGTCTCACTTCTCTGGGATCACTCCAGGGCAGCTGGGGGGGTGGGGGCAGGATCACGCCAGGACAGCGGGTTGGGGGGTGGGTCATGCCAGGGCAGTGAGTGGAGAGGGAGCAGGATCATGCCAGGGCAGCTGGGGTGGGGTGGGGGGTCAGGATCACGCCAGGGCAGCGGATTGGGGGGCAGGATCATGCCAGGGCAGCTGAGGGGGAGGCAGTATCACAGCAGGGCAGTGGGGGAGGGGCAGGGGGAGGACAGCAGTGTTGCTGCCCCTGTGTCCTGCCGGCTGGGCCCCTCCACAGTAGCCTGAGACGAGCCCATCTGTGGTAGGGTGCCCCAAGGGACTGCTGGGGTCAAAGTTGTCAGAATGACGGGCCTGAGCTGGAGGGCGGGCAGCTGCCAAGGGTCAGCCCTCTGGGATCAGAGTAGAGGTCGCCTCCCGGGCTGCTGCTTCTGTTATCTCACCCTACTGCCTGTGGACATTCTCACCAGGCCAGGACCCTAAACCCTTGGTGGTGGCCCTCGGCCTGGCCCTGTACTGGCTCCCTGGCAGGCATGTGTCAAAGGTTCTGGTGCTTTGGTGACGTCTTCCCAGCCTGCTGCGCTTCCCCTCCCCCGCCCCCCACAGCATATGTTAACATGAGCCGGTGTGAACCTTGCAGGCTGTGAGGTTCCCCCCATAGGAGGCAGGCAGACGGGGTGCACAGGGGCCCGCACGTGGCTGGGACAGTGGGATCCACAGGTGCAGGTGAAGCAGTGGTGGGTGGCATCCTCCCCACAGGTTACCCATCTGA